TAAATTAGCAGTTATGGGAGTCTTACTGACCCAGTAGGTCTGGCCTAGTAGAGACTAACAATTGGATCTAGTCCATCATCTTTGTAGTGACTGAGCTGTAAAGTTGGCCATTCTTCTTATCCTCTTATTGCAGATGGTAGCAAAAGCTGAGAGAATATTGAAAGTATGAACCAGCTTGCCTTAATTTTGGGATTTTCAGCAAATCATCCTTTTCTTTGTGCTACCATTCTCACATGTACTTCTGGTGAGAACACAGGAGTGGGCTTTCTCTGTGGCTGCTCCCAGGCTCTGGAACCTGAATGGTGGACTCAGTTGGTCCCATCTTCTCTCTTCCCACAGGCCAGTAAAGATATTTTTTATTTGGGCAGGCCTTTGGCTTTGAAATTACTGTGGCAGAAGGATCTTTTCAGTAGGGTATATTATATCTTTATTTTATTATGTTTTTAATTATTTTTAACTATTGTAATTTAGTATTTTAAAACGGAATTTTTATTTAATGCCTTTGAAACTTTTGTAGCACAAAGAGATACAAAGTGTAATTTGTTCTTAACTTGATGTGAGCTACCTTGGGTCCTGTCCCAGCAAAAAGGCAGGATATCAAATAAATATATATTTACTCTAATGCAAGTTATGGGTTGTTAGTGAATTTGTTGTGAATGGAAGATTTGAGGAGCTCACCCTCTTAGCTTCTTTGCCAAACCACTTTTCAGGTATGGGCATGGTCACTATAACAGTTTTCAAATATGTGATGACAGTTCATATCTGCTTTAGACCATCCCATATTAGTGGCTCATTGGCTTAGTTTAGCTTGGGATCATTTCCCCTTTTTGACAGAGAAAAGCAAACAAATTAACTCATATTCAAGTGGTTAAATGCTGAGTAGTTGATTCCTGTCACTCTCCCCACTCCTGCCTGGGCCTGTCACTGAAAGTTGTATGTGCTGTCAGAGTAGCTATGATGCTTTCTGATGGTTTTATTATAAATGCATCTCCTTGCTTGGTCTCTTGCATATTCCAATATTAAAACAGAGCCTTCTTAATTAGGCAGATTTCTGTCATGACAATCACACTGAAAGCTTATGTGGTTATTTTTACATCATATATCTTTCTCCAGTAGAGGCCTGAAGTCTCTCATGTTTCAAAATTGTGACGCATTGAACAAATCTTTGAAAAGGCAATCACCTTCCAGAACTAGTAATTAGCACTCTGTCGGCTTTAGCACTATTAGTTTCTAATTGCTAACATCAGCAACTCTGTCATATACAGTTGTCCCTCCATTCTCGCGGACTTGAAGTCCAAGATTTTGCACATTCACGGAGGGATGACTTCCATTTAAATCAATGGGGTGTGCTCCCACAGGGGCACACCCCATTCAAGCCTATGGGGATTGAATATTTGTGAATCTCCATTTTCATGGGGGAGTATATGTTGGCATCTACACAAGCCTTTCTCCACTGGAAAACCTCGAGATATGTTGTTTGCTAACCTCCACCACCCTTAGGGAGTGGCCTCTGTGGTGGGGATGATGAGGGTTGTAGTTTAACACATCTGGAAGGCATGAGGTTGGGGAGGTCTGGTCTAAACTGATACACATTCCAAACAGTTTTAGCATTAGAAGAATTTCTGTATCAGTTCTATAGGCACACACACATTTTGATACTCACCTTTGATCACATGTCAAAGAAATAAGGAACAAGCAATTTAATAGTGGATAGGAGGAGAGGAATCATCTGCTGGAGATGTATTTGCCTTCCTTCCTGGTATAGGTAGTAATTTGATAGGAAGAAAGGGCACATGATGCTTTTCAGAAACCTCCATATTTCATGAGTTCCAGGATGGAGATGTTTTGATGGTGGCAATACGTACATTTTGTAGAAAGGGCAATGGGAAGTGGTAGAGAAAAGAGAAGATCGGCTGTAAAAGGAAGAACTGGACACAGCTTGTTCCACGAATTTTCTTGTCATTATAAGTAGGTGGTCTATAAAATACTGACTTATTTCATACAAATTTAATGTAACTATTACAGTAGGCCCTTGGTATCCACCGTGGTTTGGTTCCAGGATACCCCATGGCTTTCGAAATCCATAGATGCTCAAGTGCCATTACATAGGACGTTATCACACGGG